GAGCGGGACCTGGACCAGGACCGGGAGCGGGACCAGGAGCGGGACCAGGAGCGGGACCAGGACCGGGACCGGGATCAGAACCGGGAGCGGGACCAGGAGCAGGACCAGGAGCGGGACCAGGAGCGGGAGCGGGAGCAGGAGCGGGAGCAGGAGCGGGACCAGGACCAGGAGCGGGAGCAGGAGCGGGACCAGGACCAGGAGCGGGACCAGGACCAGGAGCGGGACCAGGACCAGGAGCGGGACCAGGAGCAGGACCCCCGGCCCAGGCCTCTCCCCTGTCCTGGGCCCGACCCCCGCCCTGCAGGACGGCTCTAAGCGCTCCCACAGAGACACAAGGTGCATTAAGGTCCCATTTCTCGCCCGCACGCGCAGCCCCCGCTCGCAGCGCCGCAGGTCGGGCCCCAGAGCAAAGCAGGGACCCTCCCCTCCTGTGAGGCACCTGCCACATTTGCACCCTCCTTGCTCCCAACCTGCAACGCCCCGCGGGTCCCCACGCCGGGAACACCCCTCACCCCCTGTTCCGTGGCCATAAATGTTCCCCAGAGACCCTCCCGCACCTTCTCACTTCACCAGGAAGGAAAGAAAAAGGATCTCAAAGCCCTTTATTTGTCGTGTGAGGAAGGGGCATGAGATACAAGTGGTTTCTGGTGAGATCACAAGCTCATGAACAAACAGGACAGAGGAGCCTCCTTGCAACATGGACAAACATAAGGGACAGGAGCTGGGTCTGGCCTGACTCCATCCCCTCTTGCATTGCTCTGAACAATTTGGGTTTTGAGCGAGAGTCCCACCACTATGGGATCTCTACTCAGCCTTCACAACCAGCCCAGCTCTGGCTGCAGGGTCAGTCGTGCAGCACCCAGGGGAGCAGAACAGGACCCTGCCACCGAGCTGCTGCCCACGGCCTGTCCCCAGGGCTCTAACTGCCCTCTGCCTTCCTCCGCAGCTCAGCAAAGGCCTCATTCTGCTTCCTCTTGTCCTTGGCGCGGGTGATGGTCATCCTGAAGAGCCTGCAGTACAGCTCCACGGCGCTGGGGCTGTCGTCGTTCCCCGGGATGGGGTAGGTGATCAAGCAGGGGTTGCAGTTTGTGTCCACCACCCCCACCGTGGGGATGTTCATCTTGGCAGCATCCCGGATGGCCACGTGGGGACCGAAGACGTTGTTGAGGCTGCTGAGGAAGATGATGAGGTCGGGCAGGCGGACGCCGGAGCCGAACTGGATGTGG